TTTTTTTTTTTTTTTTGCATAACAAAGGGTTTTAAAAGCACTCCCTACAACCTTCACCCTCCATCCCTCCTTCTTCTCTCCGCCCATCCTCTTACCTGAGTGGTTCTTTCAGATATATTATCTGTCATCACAAGGGGTTTTAAAAGCGCCCCATACAACCTTCCCCCTCCATCCCTCCTTCTTCTCTCCGCCCATCCTCTTACCTGAGTGGTTCTTTCAGATATATTATCTGTCATTACAAGGGGTTTTAAAAGCGCCCCATACAACCTTCCCCCTCCATCCCTCCTTCTTCTCTCCGCCCATCCTCTTACCTGAGTGGTTCTTCCAGATGTATTATCTGTCATCACAACAAGAACCTTCTTGGCTGCAGGTCTTGCCTTGGAGCTTTTAAAAAGTCGATCAGCATGCTGTAGTGCAAGATTGACCGCTACACCTCCAGTATACCGGGGCAAAGCATCGATGTACAATTTCAATTTGTCGGTAGATGGGAAAGAGTCACCAAAACTGATCTTCGTAGCAGCAAAGCTCCCGTAGTGAATGAGGCCATATTGTATCTTATCCTCGCCGTAGTTTGTGATGATAGACTTGATGGTTGATTTCATGAGGTTGTAAATTTCCTCGCCGTCACCGGAAGTGGCTGTGAGTGCAAACGCGAGGTCCAGTTCCGGTACTTTTGGCTTGACAGCTAAAGTAAGATGTCAAACAAACTTGTTGTAAGAGTAGAGAAAAGTCTCTGTGCTTTAACAAAAAGCAGTAGTCGACTTTGTTTGACACTCACACACACATGCAATGAATGCATAGAATGTAACCGAGATGTTTAAACACTCTGTTATTATCAATCTTACGTTTCAAGCCTTTTTCCATGATTTTCTTGGCAAGGCCTTCCGGCGTCTCTGTGGTAGGGACCCCAATCACGTTATCCTCGTCGTCTGTTGCAGCTCCAATCTCATCTTTTGTTACTTCGTTACCAATAGCAACGGGGATGACTTCTATGCCGGCATTGGATAAGGGTCGTGCTACATTCTGTATGTCACCTTTACTGACCCCTGAGCGGCGATCAGTTATTACTACGAGAACCTTCTTAGCATTTGGGCGGACGCCCGGGCTTTGGAACACTTTAATGGCTTCCTCTAGGGCTTTGTTGATGAGCGCGCCACTTGAGTCACGTGGTAAACGATCGATAAATACCTTCAGTGACTGTGGATCTGATATCTGATTGAATGTATAACAATGTTAAGTGACTAGTAAATTTGAAAAAGGCAATACGGATTTTTCCCCATGGCTCCTTCTTTGTTACTTCAAGCCCCATTTCACGGGGTCAGAGTCATGGTTCTCGGAATCCTTGTCTCTAGACCAAACGCACTGGAATTGAGAATACGATTATTTGTTTGGGTTGTATCCATATTCATGTATCTTCTCGTGTGAAACCGTTAAACAAGGAAACGACACTCAAGGGAATTACACGCGGTTTGAAATGGAAAAGCATTAATCCAATTCAAAATGTATATTATTAGGAATTAAAACTCAAGAGAATGACACAAGATATTTAAAAGTGGATTGGATGTAAACCCTAAATATTTAAACTCAGTTCTCACCTGGGAATCAAAAGACACCTTGGTGGTTGGGGTCGCTCCATAGATTATCAGACTGTAATGAATCTTATCCGTGCCGTAGTCTTTAACAATGGTATTGATAGTATCTTTCATGAGTCTAAAGGTTTGGTCTGCAAGACTGGAGGTCGCTGAGATTGCAAAGGCCATGTCTATTTCCGGCACCCCTTCAAACAAAATAAATAAAACTTTTATCAGCTGTAATGTCAAAAAAGCTTTTGCTTTGGGAACAATCAAAAATACGTAAAAGAAATAGTTTCACTCAATCACAAGACCTTAATTTGGACCAGCTTATACGAATGTGTTTTGATGTACCCGTGACTCGCGAAGTTTATGGCGTCACTTTAATGGCACAATCAAAATGCTTGGCAATTTTTTTTCTTTTTAACTCAAGTTTCACTTTATTTAATGTGCAACAATGCTAAAAAAAGTAAGTAGTGAGTTATTGAAGAAAAAAAATGCGAGTCCACAGCAGAGACAGCACAGGGCTAACTGATTTATAATAATAATCAATCTTTATTCAGGAAGCCTACTTCACATAATGTGTTTTACAATAGGGTCCTGCCAAACTGAAAGGGAAGAAGGGTGGTGAAAACGAAAAGTAAAGTTATATCACGACGTTAACTGTCTGTTTATGTGTTCTGCTTATTTTATGCTTATTGCTACGCATGGTTGCGCATTAAATAGTAAGATAAGAACTTAGAAAAGGTGTACAAGACATTCTGGCAGTGACGGAAAAAATAGCAATAATAATCGCAAAAAATAAGCTAGATAGAGCAGTTTTCGCATGAATGTGAAAAAGTCGGTGCCGTATGCGTGCCTTGCCGCGACCGTGATGTTTCCTAGACTTTTGATTTGGGGATTTTTTTTCTCGCGCAATGTGATTGGTCGGACAGTGCCGTGACATTGGCGAAACCGTGTCCGCGCCGTGTTCCGAGCCGAGTTTCGGACAATTGATTGGATGAAAAGTGAATTATCGTGCAATRTGATTGGTCTGACGTATGCCTTGCCGTGTCACGACCGTGTTCGTGCCGTGAGCTTCCCACAGTCATACGAAAACTGCTCTAAAAACGTATCTACAGTGTTCTTACCCTTTTTAAGTCCTTTTTCAATCACGTCCATGATATCCCGTCCTGTTTTCCCTGGCTCTAGATCTCTTGTTGTCTGGATGATATTCTTATTGTTTGGTGTCGTCTGTTCTAGTTCAGGGACACTGGCTTCGTTGCCTACAGCAACAGGGATGACTAGTACTTTCTTATCTTCTAGCGGTTTGGCTTCTCGTTTGATGGCAGCGTTACTGTGACCTGATGCCTTGTCAGTTATGATCACAAGAACCTAGGGATTAAATTCAAAACGATGAAAGTCAGTATATTCGAAATTAAGATTTGCCCTTAATTGGATAGTCGGTCTTTTTCCTCTGTGAAACTGAATTCTTTCTCATGTAAATCAAATTTGTTCCTGCCTCCTATCATCGATGCCATCATGTAATGGTGCAATCTCGTACCCAGAGCCTGCGTTTCTTCTGGCCTGCGGCGAAGAACGAGGGCTCTGGCATAATCCATATTTTGGTGCATGCGCAATTTTCGGAAAGTGAGATATAACCGATCAAAATAATCAAATTAAAAAATAAATCAAAGTGAAAATCAAAGAAAAAATCATAGTAAGAATTAAAAATCGGGAATTATTTTTTTAATTTTAGGCAAGTCTTTGAACGCGTGCGCTGTTATAGCGGAAGTCCAAGAAATCCTGGTCTCAAGAAATGTATTATGCTAGAGCCCTCTTCGCCGCAGACCAGAAGAAACGCAGGCTCGGGGTACGACATTGGTAATGGTGCAAAGCCTACGTACCATGCTTTTCTAAGAATTTCGGGCATGTTTACAAGTAACTTCAAAGCGTAAATAATATTATATGTAATTCGTTTCTATTATACCAAGTGTAAAATTAAAAGCTGAATGAATCGAGTTGATTCTAACCTTTCTTGTTCCGGGCTGACTCGGCGAGTTATCGAATCCTCTAGCAGCTGCAGCGAGAGCGGCATTCAAATTACTCTTTCCTCGTGACCTGGGAATAGTGCTGATCATCTTGATCATCTTGTTATCTTGGTAGGCAGCATTCTGCCTAAAGTCCAGTACAGTAGTGACAGTATCTGCGAACACTATGATACTGAATCTAGTCTTGGCGTAACCATACTCATTGTAGATGTATTTGAGGATGTCTTTCATACGAGAGAATGTGTCGTCTGCTTTGGCTGCAGTTGATGAGATGGCGAACATCAGGTCCATTTCTGGGACTTTCGAGCCTATAAGAACATCAAATTATTTCATTGACAATTATTGATATACTGACCTAAAACAGTGGCGGATGCAGGAGGGTGCAGGGGGTGCGCAACCCTCCCTGGTTCGACTTTGTGTCCCTACTTCAAAGATTTGACCAATACAAAATAATGTTTTTTCCCTTTGATTCTAAGGGGTGCACCCCTCCCTGGGTTAACTATGTGCGCTGCACCCCTCCCTGAACAAATTCCTGGATCCGCCCCTGTAAAATATATGGCTGAGACGACCTTCTTTAATTCTCTTAACTTTCGTAATCATTCCAGGCCTCTACACATCATCATTGCATTCAATACTATCATCATCAGCTGCAGTATCTTCATGGCCATCATCATTCGTATTAATTTATGAAATGCCGACAAGTCAATATTCAATATGACCACGATCCGATATTATAAATAATGTACAGCAATTATGGTATAAAAGATAAATGAAAGGATGGACGAATAGAAGCGATGCAATAAATGTACGGACGGATAAATAGATAGATGGATGAAGGTCTCAGAGAGAACCTGGGGAAGGGAAAACGCTGGGAGGTATTTCTATTAAACCTATATTACTGTGTGTATTGAGAGATAAGGCGGTAAGCCAAGACAGCTGTTCACGGTTTCTAGTTGAGCTGGCTCATTTTTGTTGAGATACATTTTAATTTACCTATTACGCATGTTCTTATATGATTTCCGAGCCCATCCCACACGGCTTACCGCCTCATCTCTTTGTCTGTATTATTATTGACCTGCATTACCTTTCAAAGCACGTTTCATGATTTCTTGTGCCAACATATCAGGATCTTCATCTTCCGGGGCAGCAATCACTTTATAGTAAGACGACACATCACCAAGTTTGTCAGGGTTCACTTCACTACCAATACCCACTGGTATAACATGAATCCCATTCTTTTGTAAACGCTTTGCAGCGACTTTAACCTCGCTAGGCGTTAGCCCTGAATCTTTATCCGTGATCACCACTAAAATTTTCTCGGCATCGGGTCGGACACCAAAACCTTCGTATACCTGTTTGGCCTTTTCCAACGCTTTATCGAGAGAGGAGCCTCCTCTCTTCACAGGCAAGGCTCTTACCAGTTGTTTTAGAGATTCGGCATCCGGAATTTTGTCAGCAAAGTTCCTATGTATCGTGGCGTCTGAGCCGTATACGATGATGCTGTAGTGAAGAGCATCTGTGCCATAAGTGTCGATGATAGAGTTGATAGTGTTTTTCATGAGGGAGAAGGTACGGTAGGACAGGGCTGATGTGGCGCTTATCGCGAAGGTAAGGTCTATCTTTGGTACTCTCTTGATCGCTATGACAAGAATTGAAATGTTAAATTTTGAACCGTACGTTGTAAGTCTAATAGACCTTTGTAGAGCTAGACCTTTTTCTGAGATAATGGTGCATTGTGGTCTAGTTTCGGTACAAACATCTTTCGTTCATCATGCCTTATACGGTGTTGTTTGGAATGATGCCCCCTAAAACAGCCACAAACTGTACTGCAACGTCAATGGCTAATCGAGCAGGTCTGACCTTTTTTTGAGATAGCAAACATGATGCATTGTGGTCTAGCTCAGGTACAATTATATTTGGTTCATCAAGCCTTATATGGTGTTGTTTGGAATTATGCCCCCTAAAACAGCCCCAAAATGTACTGCAACATCAATGGCTAATAGAGCAGGTCTGGTATGAGTGGAAAACACAAGGTACTGGCTTACATAAAGTATACGGTACAAATGGTTTCCATTTGCCTTCCAGTATGTCATCCAATCAAAATGCTTAGTTACAGTTACGGCAGTTTTCGCGTGACTGTGAAAAGTTCAGTGCCGTAACCGTGCCTTGCCGTGACTGCGATATTTTTTATGATTTTTTCTTGCCTGATTTTTTTCTTACGCTATGTGTCTAGCTGTGCCGTTCATGCCATGTTTGGGGTGATTGATTGGATGAAGAGTATATTCTCAAGCAAACAATGTGATTGGTCTGGCGTATCTCTTGCAGTGTCACACCGTGTTCGTGCTTTACAGTACGAATACATTGCGGCTACAAAATTGCCGTATCGTTTCCAACTCATACGAAAACCGCTCAATTGTTGCGAGACTACAGGAACGATGAACTTACCTTGAAGTACTCGATCAATAATCCTTCCGCCCAAGTCGTTTGGGTCATCAGTTCTATCAGCTGTCAGGACATTGCGGTTATCTTTCGTAGCTTTCTCCAGCTCATTCACATTGACTTCATTCCCAATGCCTACCGGTACCACAACTATACCCTATGTAAAGAAAAAACAATTTCTTGAGTCTGAAGGCGTTTGCACAAGCGTCGTTTTCTAGAGCAACTTGACTCGCAAGAAAAACTGTTCCACGTTGTACGAGCTATCGTGCGTGTAAATCACGCTTGTACAACTTGTGTCTTAAAATTCTTTGTTGTAGAATATTTTTGGATACATCTTTTTTAAGGACTCATGAATCAGGGTCAAACTTATTTCAGCATTAAGATATTCAGAAATACCAACGGTGATAAAGAGAATGCACACTACACAGCTTTATCAATACATACATTTTGATTTCAAACGGGCCTTCCCTGAAACCCTATTTAGCATACCTCATTTTCAAGGCGTTTAGCAGCATTCCTCAAATCAGAATCCGGGACATTAGAGTTCTTATCTGTCACAACAACCAGTACTTTATGGGCGTCTGAACGAGCCCCAGGCCCCTGGAGGACTTTACGTCCCTCCTGAAGCGCCTTGTCCAATGAAGAGCCACCTTGCATCCGTGCTGCCGCACTAATAAACTTCTTTAGTTGATCCGCTGTATAGTTGTCTTGGAAATTCGTTTTCATCGATGCTTCGTCGGAGTAGATGATGAAGCTGTATCGAAGAGCACCGATCCCGTAGCGATCAATAATCGATTTGATAGCATCTTTTGTGAGTTGGAAGGTTCGATCAGCATCAGTGGCAGTTGCAGTGACTGCTAAGGCAAGGTCGATCTTGGGGATTTGTGGTTTATCTATGAGATGATCAGAAATGAAATTTGAATGAATTTTTTCTGAGTCTTTCAATTTGCAGCTGCATAAGTTGCTTTCATATACTGCGAGGATCAGTCCAATTTGATACAGAAATGAAATTGTCTGTGCTACATGGCTGCAACATTACTCCCTAGCTTAAGAGGTCTATTCCATTTGTACTTGTAATCTGAAGAAACATCTATAAGAAACACAACTGCAAATATCTTGTTTATTTATCCGTCCATCTATGAATCCATCAATCTATTCATCCATATTCAAATTCCTTAATTATTTCAGTCAGTCAGCCATTCATTAAATATTCATCCATCCGTCCGTCCGTTTGTTAGTTCATCAATTACTGCAACTATTTATTCAACTATCCATTTATTTTTATTTAGTCCAGCATTGTCATCTTTTATGCATTTAATTTCCAACAAAAGCATAATTAATATACGAGATAAAGAGAATTCAGAAATTCTGCTTAATAGAAAGGCCCAGTTGTTTATTATTTTTTATGCTGTTTGCTAGAGGTAATATTCTCTGTCATGTCCTATTCATTCAGTTACCTTTCAATACCACGACCATAATCTTTTTTCCCAGGTCATCTGGTCTGTCTGTCTTGGCAGCCTGTATCAAGTTGTCTTTCTCTGGAGTGGTCACTAGCAATTCGCCTGGGTTAGCTTCAGGTCCGATCGCAACTGGAACGACTCTAATGTTGTTTCTTTCCAGTGGTAATGCTGCAGCCTTGATATCAGCCTCGCTGGCACCTGAACGTCTGTCTACGATTACTACGAGGGCTTTGCGAGCGTTTGGACGCACACCTGCATCAAGAAGATTTCATTTAGAAGTCGTGGTCAAAACCTTTCGCGGAGTGGACTGTTCTTTATGAAAAAGCTATTTACTGGTCCAAAATGAAAACGAGCAATTGAAAAATTGTAGCTACGATGGTAATGAGCACTAGTCCAGAACTGGACCCACTTTTATCTGCGCGCGCGCGGTAAAAATATGAGAAGATCTGGATCGAGAGTCAACGGACGAGATAAAACAGTCATTTTTTTTAGAATCAGAGCTCAGAGGATCATTGCGCGCGCAAAACAATAAACACAATTGTGAAAAGTGGGTCCAGTTCTGGACTAAATGAGCACTAGCTGCTGACAGAAACATCGGTAATGGACCCTTCGTTATGCGGCAGCAGTGTGTATGCCCGCGTAAGCTCACCCTGAAGCGTTTGAATGCAAGCCAACAGGGAGAAAAATCAATTCTTCCAGTCAGCATAGCTTCCGCACGAAAAAGGTCCATAGCAGATGGTATGTCAGTAACGTGGTCATCTTAACTTAATAGCCTTGATTTTGATTACATGACTTCAAAAACAAACTTTGGCTGCAGGCTCAACTGTGATAATAGGTCTTTTGCAACAACAGGTCACGTGACCCAACCCCCTAAAAAAATAGACGTTGTGTCAAAATGAACACCAGAAATCGAAAGAGCACGTCAATATTACGGGGGGTAGGGTCATGTGACCTGTTGTTGCAAAAAGCCTATTGGTAATTCTTCGATCTCAGACAAAATCTTCTCTCGAATCAAAATTAAATTTTTGATAGTTCCAAATTCACAGTATTACAGTGAATAATCTTGGAAAATTATTGACAACTTAGCGAGCATACACAGATGTGAATTACCGCTGACCCACCTTGTCCTTCAAATAACCGCAATGCTTCCTGCATCGCTCTATTAATAGCTGGAGCTCCAGATCTTCTCGGAAGGTTCCTGACAAAATTCTTAAGTTTGTCTGGTTCAGGCATGTTTTCCGCGAAGCTTATCCGTGTGGATGGTTGAGAACCGAAGATAATGAGGCTGTAACGTATTCTCTCCCGTCCACATGAGTCTATTATGGATTGAATGGTGTCCTTTATCAATGAGTATATACTGTCTGCGTCACGTGACGAAGCGCTGATAGCAAAAGCCAAGTCAATGTCTTGGGGTATATCTGTATGGTGCAAGATGAACATAGTTAGTAAGGCGTAAAATATCGACCCACGAAAAATAACTATTCTTAGTAACTTTCATTATACCTATTTTTAACAATTTTCTAAAACTTCTATGTCTAAACTTTCTAGAATTTTCTATTACTTGTACATTATTCTAGAATCTTCTAACGAGCACGCATGTCTCTGTACTGTAATATAAACACGCTGGGAGCTGTATAGAGCAAGAAAAACAAGCTTAGGAACCCGAGGCGTAAGCCGAATATTTCTCTTACTTTTCGAGTGCTCTACAGCTCCCAGAGTGTTTACATCACAGTACAGAGCGTTTTATATCAAAAGTTTAGAAAACACCAAGCTCGCGGCAAAGTCCGCCTACCGGTCTCCTGAAACATTTCACAGTCACACGAAAACTGCTCTATCAGGCACAGCACCGTCAAAGACACGGTCACGGCACTGCTACTATATATCTACGTTTTCTCCTGTTCTAAGCTAAACGGGTATACCATACCTGGATAAATCCTAGTCATTATCTCGCTCCCCAGTTTCACAGCATTCTCGGTACCCGGCACGTTAATAAGATTTGTACTGGATGTTACAACAGATGTCGAGAGCTCGGACCTGCTTGCTGTATCTCCTATGGCAACGCCTATAATCTCGACTTTTGCTGCTTCTAAAGGTCGAGTTGCGGAGCGAATCACGCTTGGGCCGAGTGCAGAACCATGGTCCATCATCACAACTAAGACCTTTATGAAAATAAATATCGTTGTGATTAATAAATGAATTAAAATGGTGATGGCGGTGATTCTTACATTACAATGAAAAAATGTCAAGGCCTATATTAAACAAGTCCTCAAAACTCGAACCTTGAAACAACATCTGCGCAAGTCAAAGTCACGGCATGGCTTACTCATAGATCCCACCCTAAAAAAAAAAACCCTGGGATGATCTAAGTCAGGGCATGGCTTACTCATAGATCAAATCCTGAAACAACCTTTGGGTTGAACTAAGTCATGGCACGGCTAACTCACAGACCAAATCCCGAAACAACCTCTGTGTTGAACTAAGTCAGGGCATAGCTAACTCACAGATTGAACCCTGAAACAACCTCTGGGCTGATCTAAGTCAGGGCATGGCTAACTTACAGATTGAACCCTCAAACAACCTCTGGGCTGATCTAAGTCAGGGCATGACTAACTCACAGTTCAAACCCTGAAACAACCCGCCTCTGGGCTGATCTAAGTCAGGGCATGGCTAACTTACAGATTGAACCCTGAAACAACCTCTGGGCTGATCTAAGTCAGGGCATGACTAACTCACAGATCAAACCCTGAAACAACCTCTGGGCTGATCTAAGTCAGAGCATGGCTAACTCACAGATCGAACCCTGCAACCTCTGGGCTGATCAAAGTCAGGAAACGGCTTATCCACAAATCGAGTAGAACTAGCGCTTTGGGTTTTGCGAAGGGAGGGAAGCTAAAAAACCCAGAGAAAACGATCAAATCAAGGGAGACCAAGCGGCGCAAACTCTGTTGACATGTAAAGTCGAGTCCAGAAATCAAACCCAGTACTCAATGGTGAGAGGCCATTTTTCTTATGCTACACCACCCTTGGTTACTACTTTCCTGGTACAAACCTTTCTAGCATTAGATCTGACACCAGATCCATCAAAAACCTTCTTGGCTTCAATCAACGCCAGATCCAGGGCGGGTCCACCATTTATACCTGTCCTTGTATTGTCAATAAGGCGTTTGAGCGCATCTTTATCGACTACTTGGCTCGAGAAGGCTAACTTAGTGGACGCTGATGAATCAAAAACTATGAGACCGTATCGTAGACGACTTGTCCCGTATTGGTCGATAATGGAATTGATGGAGTCTTTCATGAGAGAAAATATTCTTGTTGAGTCACGTGAGACGGCACTGATGGCGAACAAGACATCCACGTCACAGGACTTGCTTTTCGCTGTAATAATAACAGAATGCAGTTGATGTTAGTAAGAGTTTGGTCTGCCTTATTATAAAGACATTTTATATGCTGTAAATTACGAACAGAAACGGGTCCTTTTTAGGTTACTTCGCATGCGTCTCTTTGGCGCTTGGGATCCCTGTGTGATAAAGAAGAGAAGGGGGCTTGGAAAGAAGTCTCACTCGTAAACATTTTTCTGCACACAACAAAAAGGCTACAGAGAAACACTTAATTAGGAAGGCAACGGTCTTTTCAAAAGTTCCATCACAAAACAATTTTCGAACAAAAATTGCTAAAAAAAATGTTGCCAAAAAGACAAAATATGTTCCTATTTTTAAAAAAAGGTTTGCAGAAACAGAAAACTGAAAGAAACTAACATTTTCGTGCCTTTCTTAACAAGCGCGCCACACTGCTAACACACTGATGTCCTTGAAAAGGAGTTTAACTAACAAACACTAGAAATCCTAAAACCTGCCAACATGAGATTCAAAAATCTTACCCGAGACAGCAATTCCCATAATTTTGTCAGCAAGTACATCCGGGTCTTCGCTTGTCGGAGCCGTAATCAAGTTATTTCGGTCGGCGGTTGTTTGTTCAAGTTCGTTTCTGTCAGCTTCGTTACCAATAGCAACAGGAATGACATGGATCTTATCACTTTCTAATGTTTTTGCTTCACGACTTACGTCATCTTCGGTGCTTAAAGATTTCTTGTCAATAATGACGACCAAAACCTACAGAAATTAATTGTCGAGTATGTTGAGGCAGAAAATATTTTGTAAAAGAAAAATGTGATATATTCGTACTGCACTTACAGTAAGATTAAGCAAAACGAATCAAACGACAGTTTTCTTTTTTTTTTTCTTTCTTTCTTTCATTGAAGCCATGTTGGAGCATATCAAAATGAAATTTCTCATTATCTTCAGTTGCTAGATATTCTGACATCAACTCATTTCACAAAACGTTGTCGGTCGGAGATCTGAAATGGGCGAATGAATTTTTGTTCTCTTATGTCATTTTTTCTGGCTTAATTCGAGAAATCACATTCTTAACTCAAATGTCATGTTTCATCAAACTCCAAACTAAAAGGAAACTAGGTGATTCGGCTGTAAATATATAACATTGTGCAGCGTGTTACCCGCTCTTTGATTACAGATCTTCAACCGACCACGTTTTTTGAAGCAGGTGTAACTGCCACGTCTTAGTCTATCGATTCCAGTTGAGAATGCCTGTAAACCCAAAATTGACTTCTAGATCCATCAGTTTCATAAATACGCGACCCGCATACGTACTTTTGACTACCTTCAATCAAAATAATCCCAAACTCAGGGAGTCTTTGACTGATGGAAATATAYACATGTACAAGACCTTTGGAAGCTTAAGTCGGTGAATATCATTCTAATTTAATTTTCGTCGAAAAGCAGAGAGGGATCACACACTCTCCTAATCAAGATTCTTTTACTTTAGCCGCTTTGGAAGATACTAGACTTGTCACGTGATTATGAAAATACGCCATGGATGAAGTCTAATAAGCCCACCTTTTTGGCATCCTTTCTGGCACCTGGATCTTTGAACACTTCCTGCCCTTTCTGCAGCGCCTTGTCCAAAGCAGGAATACCTCGTTGTCTTGGTATGTTATCCACAAATCTCTTTAGTCGGCTGCTGTCCCCAACAAATGATCCGAAACGAAGTTGAACGACAGGCACAGAGCCAAATATGATGATACTGTACTGAACGTCCCTGGCACCGTACTTGGTGACTACAGATTTGATGGTGTCTTGCATTAGACGGAAGGTACTATCTGCATCGGTCGTCGCTGCGCTTATAGCGAATGCGAGGTCAATCTTTGGTATTTTATCTAACAAAAATGATAGAGAATTTCTCAAAATTATTTTAAATTTATTTTATGTTAAAACAGTTAATGAGAACAAAAGAAATATGTCATCTTAATTAGCATACAATAGGCCCTTTAAGCTTGGGCTTCAGTTTCCCCATTTCAGACCACGTGTCATTCCCTAGAGTATACTTTCATTTTTTAAAGGTTGCACATGAGAAGACACATGAATATGGATGCAGCTCAAGCAAAGAATCTTATTCTCAAGGGAATGACACGTGGTCTGAAATCAGGCAACATTACGCCCAAACCGAAGAGGTCTATTCAATGTTTCTCAAAATGTCAAGCCAGAAAATCGAACGAAACGAAAACGGAAGGAAAGAAGGAGCTTGGTGAATAAAGGTGAAGGAAGGAGAATACAACTGAGAGAAAATTTAATTTTACCTTTCAAGACCTTTTCCATGATCTTCTTACCAAGAACAACATGGTTCTCGTTCTTAGGCGAAGTGATGAGATTATCCCTATTAGGAGTACTACTAGTCATGATATTTGGTTCAGCATCGTTGCCAAGGGCAACTGGTATCACCTTGATTCCTTTAGCCTCCAGAGGTCGCGCAGCACTGGTGACCTCCTCGACACTCGCCCCAGCACTATGGTCCATGATCACAACCAAAATCTTCCGTGCACTGGGTCGAGCATCGGGAGAATTGAATGCGTCGATTCCTGCTTGGAGGGCGGTGTTCAGTGGTGTGGCGATCGTCCTCCGTGACATTCTGTCGATGAAACTCTTTAAAGCTGTCACGCTTGGGAAATTCTGAGAGAGCAAAGTTTGACACCAACATTATTACCAATGAATTGATTCAGGATTAAAACAATTAGAACTTCTTTAAATAGAGCGGTTTTCGTATGAGTGGGAAACAATGTACTGACTTACAGTACGTACACAGTACGAAGTTACAAGGAAAAAAGTAAACTCTACATATGGATCCCAAAGATTATCGCACTGTTTATCCTTACCTCGATGTCTCTAAATTCAATGACTCTTGCGCCATAAATAATAACACTATAATGTATCTTATCGGTGCCATAATTGTCTATAATCCACTTGATTGTCTCTTTCATGTTCGTGAATGTCGATTCTGCATTTGGTGAGGCAATACTGATGGAGAAAGCCAGATCGATCTCGGGGAGACTCTTCGTAGTATCTAGATAAAAAAGAAAATAAGAAGCTTAATATAGACGTCGCCCAACTGGTTTTTGACGCCAGAAAAAAAACCACGGTCATGCTTCCAAACCTCTACGACTCTACCCACAAACATTAAACTTTTAGTCTGCATTATATTCTTCGCGTGTCGCATCATTTTGATATCCACAATTGATTCTCCACGATTACATATTTCCGCCCCGCCTCACCTTTTCCCTTCCCTTCCCTTCCCTTGCTAAATCGTGACCGTTTTTTTATTTTTTTATTTCTTTTACCCGTAAAAAAAGTTTGTCCATGATTTCCTCCTTTATTATTCCTTATTCCTTTATTATTATTTGGCCTTCTCCTCTCCTCTCCTCTCTTTTTCCTTCCCTCCCCTGAAACTTTCTGCCCATCTTACCCTTAAATATTCTGTCCATAATTTCCTTGCCAAGGGTTTTAGGATCCTTGGTCTTTGGACTCGTGATGACTTTCTTCGGGTTCGACGTAATAACACCAAGCTCAGTAGCGTCAGCCTCGTTACCAATAGCAACAGGGATAACATGTATGCCATCTTGTTCCAAGGGCTTAGCTGCTGACCGGATGTTCTCTTTTCTCACCCCAGATCTCTTGTCACTCATAATGACTAGCACCTTTGATATAGAAATAGTAATCAAATGTATATTATAATCTCTGACTTGCTGTCAGTGTGCTTTCTTGTATTAAATTCCTGCTGTTTCTGCGTCTTGTCGCGAAAGAGAAGAAAAATCGCAAGTCAATGAGATAGGGTGTATGAAATAACATACATAATGTTTGAAATAAGAATTCCTAGATCTCGTGATGGTGAAAAATATGCGGCACACTAATGTCATACCTATGCATTCTGATTGCAAGGGCGGATCCAAGGGGGGGGTCTAATTGAGTTTCTTCCGTCAACACAACGGAAAACAATATAAAAAAGCATCGTTTTTTTTTTCTGCTGAAGGGGGGCTTCAGCCCCCCTTTCCCCCCCTGGATCCGCCCTTAGATTGGATTACCAATAACATCACGTTCACTAGCTAAATGCTGTCAATACTGTACCGTGACCGTGGGCAATACATACCGTGATCTTTCACAAACACAAAAACTTCTTCATACATAATCAATAGACCCCTTTGCATTTGACGTCAAAGCAGCCCACTTTGGAGGACAATACAAAAGAATTTCAATCTCCTGAGAATTAGAACCTATTGTTATGTCCTCCAATTGAAGCTGCATTCTGATATACTACAGGGGGTCTATTGAAGAAACAGAAAACGCGCGCGCGTGCTGTGTGCAATCATAAAGCACGGATAGGCATAACACGAGAGAAGTGTTTGAAGAAGCACGACACGTAGCGGAGTGCTTCTGGACACTTCTCGAGTATTCTGCCAATCCCCAAGTGCTTTATAACTCCACACAGCACTGTGAGCATGTTTTTTACTTCTTTTATAAAATACAAGGGCGCGTGCGTGCTGTGTGCTCTCATAAACCACGAGCTCCCAACCAATAAGAATACAAGATTCATAGCAGTTATTTTATAAAAAGCGATAACTACCTTGGTAGAATGTGCTCTGACGTCAGAACCATCAAATAAATTCTTAGCATGTCTCATGGCTTCGTCTAAAGCAGGCTGTCCACGACTTCTAGGGATGGTCTCGATAAACCCTTTAATGTCACTAGCACTAGGAAACGTCTCTCTGAACCTGATGGCAGTGGTTGCACTAGAACCGTACGTAAAGACACTATAGTCTATTTTACCGATGCCATAATCATCGATAATAGATTTGATGGTTGATTTCATCAGCTGGTAGGTAGTGTCAGGGTCGGTGCTTCCTGCGTTTAATCCGAATACGATATCTAAAGCCTTCATGGGTAGAGCAGCTGGACCTTAAAGAAAACGGATCCATTATTCCTTTATTAGTAAGAGTTAATTACCGAGAACGGAGGCAGTAAGCCATATACATGTATAGGCTTATTGCCGACGTTCGAGGTAATTAAGTATTCTATTTATCAATTGAGAAGGTTTTCTATCAAATGTTGCTCATTATAAATGCGAAACCTCTATATATAGTTATTATCCGGGTTAATATCTGACTATATATTGACCTCGCATTTATAATGAGGGTTATAACAAAAATAAAGCCTTGTGAATAACAAAGAAAGCCGTGTCACTTGAGAAATAAAGGCGTTTACATACAATAAAGGTCTTTAAGCTTTATACTTTACTTAATACACCGAATCAAAAATGTGACCATTTTGAATAACTATTGTTATGCACTAACAAGCGACTGACCCCCTGAACACGAGGCTAATCAGGCGCTAGCCAGTGCAGAACAATAGTTATTCAAAATGGTCGCCATATTTCGATTCAGTGTACCTCTTAAAGACCACGTGTAATTGTTGAGTGGAATCCATATTTGTGTACCTTCTCATGCCAAATGTTGAACAGAGAAATGATACTCTAAGGAATGACACGTGATTTAAATGGGTAAACATCATCAACATTATCATCATCATCATCATCAATCATTTTCACTACCATCATCATTTATCATCCTCATCATCATCATCATCAT